TATCCACTTATCCATCTGCCCATCCTACTATCTACACACAGACTCTCCATTTTTTCTGCCAAAACCATGGTGCTGGCTCAGCCTGTCCATTTTTAGGGCTGAGACAGAAGCAGCAAAGTCACAGGAGCCCACGATGCTCACAGCTGTGTGGACAAGCCTGGCTCTGCAGTCTCGGCTCACCTAGGCCAGCTGGGGTTGCCCTGCCCACCCACGTGGCCATACCAGCATAGATGACTAGCCCGTAGCAGGCGTCAGTGTTGCGGATCTTGGAGCCACGCAGGAGGAGGTTGCCGATGTCCAGTGCATACGTTTTGCTCTTCCACTCCAGGCTTCCCACAAATTGGTGCATCCGGCTGTTGGGATCCTCGCATATCACCGTACCTGTGGCAACCTGGCAGTCACCACCCATGGCACCTTACCACTCTCCCCAACTGGGGGAACATTGTTGCCACCCCAGCTTTGGTCAATTCCACTGGCCCCATGGCACCACACACTTGCCCTCTGGGAGCCCGCACCCCACCACTGGGCACCCCCTGGAGGGACAGCACTGTCCAGCCCCCTCTTGCTGCCCATGGGCTGTTGCTGGATCCTGTTCACACAATGGCGGTGTTAATACCTGCGAGCCTCCGCTCTTCGCTCCAGGTCCCTGGACAGGTTGGGAACTTGGCATGCACTAGGTGCTCAGTAATTGTGTGAGGGAGGGGTGCCCAGTAGAGGGAGCCCCGCCAGCACCCTGATCTCACTGGGCACCCCCACAGCCACTTCACCACCATCACCCTGGAACCGGATGTTATTGGCATCACCCCTGGCTCAGCAAAGTGGTCAGTGAGGGCTCAGAAAACAATGGCGTGTAGGCTGGGACCCCAGGAGAGAAAGGGCTGAGAGGCCATCATTCCATCCACCATCCACCATCTACCATCCATCCATCCATCCGTCCGTCTACCATCCACCACCCATCCATCCATCCATCCATCCATCCATCATCCACCCATCCACCATCCATCCATCATCCACCACCCATCCATCCATCCATCCATCCATCATCCACCCATCCATCCATCCATCCATCCATCCATCATCCA